CAGTTCTTCAAGTCCTCACCATCTTTGATACTTTAGCTTGCAGTTTGTGGTTTTTCTTTGCATAACAATGAATGTGTTTGACCACGTGATGATACATCATAGTAAACTTCTTTATGTATCTATTCATCATTCCGACAATATATAAAAGATTTGGACGAGTATGTATCAAGTATCTTAGACTTCCAATGACTTGTCTATACTTGGTGGGATTCACCAAGCTTCCTTTAGCATCTTTCCTGAGTTATACAAGTGTCCGAGTTATACTTGGTGGGATTGTCTTTCCATTCATTTCAAAACTTCGACGATCCCTTCCCGAACCAAACATGACCAGGTTGCACTTTGTCATCTTAAATTGTTGCAGTACCTTCTTAACATAGGCTAATTGCTTTAGCATGATGCAGTCTTTCTTTTGCCCCACCTCCATATAGAGGTAATATATGAGTATTCCGATGTGAGTCATCTCAAACTCTTTATCATTTACTACTTGAATTTTTTGATGCCTTCTCCACTTGTACCAGCGATGAACACGTCGTCAATTCATAATTTCTTGTATAAACCACTTGATGTTGCGAGAATTTCATGAAATTGAGACTCTTCAAGCTCTTGTCCAGACATATGTTCCATGCCCTCGGTGCTTGACGTAAACCATAAAGAGCCATTGACAACTTGGACACTTTGTGCTCTTTGGTTTTGACGACGAAACCTTAGGGTTGGGCAACACACACTTCTTCTTGGAGGTCACCATTTAGAAATGTCAGTTGATGTCCAAGCGATAATCCTCCCGCCCATGTTGAGTTGCAAGGACAATACTTAAACTCACAGTCTTGAGTCTAGCCACCCGACCGAAGACCTCCTCAAAATCAACTTTTTACTGTTGCATGTATCCCTCACCACAAGTCTTGCTTTGTGTTTGTTGATTTTCCCTTCACTATTCTTCTTCAACTTAAACACTCGCTTCAAACCGATGGGTTTGTAATCGAGCAGTAAGTCAGTGAGTGCCAACATCTTGTTCTTCTCAATAGTTTCAAGCTCTTTTTGCATGGTCTCTTGCACATTATCTCATATGTTGTCCCATCTCCTCAACAACGAGTAACACTAGCTCGTTAGGATCTAACTCTTTTTCGAGTGTATCTAAATAAATTTTATTAAGAGAACAAAATTTCTTTGATCCTCCATCTGTCGTGGATCCTACTACTGTGCTCTTGCTTGCGCTCCCTTGATCTAAAATGTGGTGTCACCGGTGATGACGTGTGTGGATTTGTTGGTGTTGATGTCGGTGCACTTTCTAGGTCTGCCTCATCTTCTGTAGTTCTCAACTCTTACAATATTCTTTTTACTGCCACAACACTAACAAGCTTATTGATTTTGGTTTCTATCACCACGCTTCTTAATATGTGACCCAGATGTCTTGACATGGGGTTGTACAATCGAAAACTCTTAAATACTCGAAGTGAGATTTCTTATCGACAAGTGAGGTTTCTTACCAAATCTTGCTCGGTGTAAGATTTTTATTAATTTAACCTATTTATTGATAAATATGAAAATTAAAAAAAAAAAAAAAAAAAAAAAAAAAAATTGTTTGGATCTAACGCTGGAGTCTGAATCCATTAAGCCCAACGGTGGAGCCTTATATGCTAAATAATTAAAAATAAAAAAGGAAAGAAATAAATAAACCTTTCGTTATTTTGCCTCTTCAGAATTTCTCCAACCGCCGTCGAAAGCCAAGGCGAACGGAGTTCTCTACAAATTACAGCCCTTCCAATCGGAGACGGCCGGTTTCATTTTTCCAGCCGACTGAACTTCACCAAGAAACGTCCGGAACAGTTTCCATTTCTCTTTCAACTCCGGTATTTTCTTGTTTTCAAGAAACATGGACAATGAAACCCGACGGAGAATCGAGGAAACGGTGATTGACTTATTGAAGATATCGAACATGGAAGAGATGACGGAGTACAAAATTCGAGCCGAGGCCGAAAAACGACTCGGAATGGATCTCTCCGATATTCAATGCAAGTGCCTGGTGAGGGACGTGGTCGAGGACTTTTTACATTCATTTACGGAACGTGATGATAAGGGCAAAGAGGGAGAACCAGGGCCTAGCGATCGTTACGAGAATAAAGCGACGGAGCAGGAGATAGTCCGGAAGAAGGAGATTAACGCTGATGTTGACCGTGTGATTTGCCAGGTAAAGCCTTTGCCCTTCTTGATTCTTGAGAAAAGTTGTTGTGAATTTGAAAGCGGAAAAATTGGGATTTTGCGTATATCTGGTGAACTTAGTGAATTGAACTTCAATGCAATGGAGCTTGTTGCCCTTCTTAGAATGCTTCCGAAGCTGGATGTATATGTTCCTATGGCTAGATTGTTATAATTCATTGCTCGTGATCATTATACTATAGTCTTTTGTTACTGAACTGCACCAAAAGGTTAGATTGTGGATGAAATTCCGGTGTCATTATACTATAGTCTTTTGTTACTGAACTGCACCAAAAGGTTAGATTGTGGATGAAATTCCGGTGTACATTCTCTGGCATTTGTGCATTATGATGTAAATTATTGAATCCTCTATATTTATGGTTGTAATAATTAAAGAAATGTTCATTTAGACAAGATCTTTACAGCACTGTATCCTTTCAAAGAAGTAGTTTAATAATTAAAGAAATGTTCATTTAGACAAGATCTTTACAGCACTGTATCCTTTCAAAGAAGTAGTTTTTGTTTTTAGAATTTGACAAAAAAAATTCAAATATTTATCCAACCTAATTAAAAATTATAGTAACGAAATTATGTATAAATTTCAAAAACAGAAAGGTAAATTATCAAATAGAGACAGTTGTTAAAATTGTCCATTACAGATTTTACTCTGTATGAAATATGATCCCCATATAATAACCCGTCTGCAATATTATGATTTAGTAGCTAATGATTTTCGGCTTTCTTTCAGCTATCTAATAACAGGAATGTGACAGTTCATGAATTTAAAGGGAACGCTCTGGTATCAATTAGGCAGTATTATGAAAAAGATGGAAAACAGCTTCCTGGTATTAAAGGTGGGCACTATGCATTGGTCTCTTCATTTCCTCTTATGGTGAATCTCCTTATTTTGCCCTGACACACCCTAACACATTTGGCTGAGGTGATGTGTTGGAAAATTTCTGGGAACTCGATTCTCTTGTATCATGTGAGTTCTGTTAACTTCACTTACCTTCCCCCTCCCCCTCACCTGTTCTCTTTTGACCCTTTACTTTATGGCAGGGGTGGGTTGAGAGTGTCTTGCTTCTATTATGAACTCTAACCATGTGAAACGTGATTAGTTAAACCAGTATTTAATATGATTCCAGCTGCTGTTGATTTTGATTTAGACCTGTTGGGTTAGGAGTTTCTTTTGATTGGGTCTGAACGACCAATCCATCTCGTAGTCCTATAAGCCCCCCTGTTTTTATTGAAATTATTATTCATGTTAGTTTTTGTCCATATTGATAATTTTAATTGCTAGGAATCAGCTTGACAACTGAACAATGGTCTGCCTTTAGGAGTAGTATTCCTGCTATAGAGGAAGCTATTTTGCAGATGAAAATGAAAATAAAAAGGTGAGAACCATGTTGATGTTCTTTGATACTACTGTTATTGAACCTGCTTGTTATAGTTCATCAAATTTATTTCATTAACAAGAAAACTCCAAAGTTTTATGATATGTTTTCAGGAGTTGGTGTCCAAATGTAGATTCCAAAACTTTTATTAATGTTTTCTTTCGTTAAGTTTTCTTGTTGGAGGATTTAAATTTCAGGACAAAAGGTGTATAGTTGAAATAACTAACTATACCATATCTTGTAGATCTGAACACGATGCTAATACAAGTGGTGCTGTCTCTGTACCTGCTACTGGGTCTGCTCCAAAATTTCCATCTGAAACTATTCGGTTTGATGGAAAAAACTACCGGGTATGGGCATGCCAGATGGAGCTTTTGTCCATCTGAAACTATTCGGTTTGATGGAAAAAACTACCGGGTATGGGCATGCCAGATGGAGCTTTTGCTGCGGCGCTTAAAGATTGCTTATGTACTTTCTGATCATCGTCCTACTGCCATGCTTCGATCAGAATCTAGCTCTGGAAATACCTCTCGATCCAAGGCATCTGAACAGGAATGGATGAGTGATGACCACAGAATCTAGCTCTGGAAATACCTCTCGATCCAAGGCATCTGAACAGGAATGGATGAGTGATGACCACATGTGTCGCCACATCATTCTGAACTCCCTCTCCGATAGTCTTTTTCATAAATACACGAAGAGAACAATGAGTGCTAGAGAACTCTGGAAGGAGCTAAACTCGCTTTATCTTTGTGATTATGGAACCAGGAGATCTCAAGTTAAAAAATATCTGGAATTCAGGATGGTCGAGGAGAAGTCAATATTAGAACAAGTTGAAGAACTTAATAACATTGCTGAATCCATTATTTCAGCTGGAATGCGGATTGATGAGGATTTTCATGTTAGTGCCATTATTTCTTGCTGAATCCATTATTTCAGCTGGAATGCGGATTGATGAGGATTTTCATGTTAGTGCCATTATTTCGAAGCTTCCACCCTCTTGGACAAATGTCTTTGTGAAGTTAATGCGTGAGGAGCATCTTCCCTCTGTGGTGTTGATAGATCGATTGAGGAATGAAGAAAAATTACGTACGCAGCAATACTCACATCTCTTCTGTGGTGTTGATAGATCGATTGAGGAATGAAGAAAAATTACGTACGCAGCAATACTCACATCTCTCAGGAGCGCCTTTTAATCCAGGAGGCCAACGTCCTTTCGTGAATCACAGGCGAAAAATGGGAGACCCAATGTCCCAAAGCCTACCGTCGAGGAAAAGGGAATGGAAAATGGATGTCAAAACTTTACTCTGCTTGAATTGTGGCAAGGAAGGACACATATCTCGAGATTGTCCGAGTAGTAAGTAGGAAAGTCGATAATGAAGTAGCTCATTAAAGAACACAGCAGTATCCTACTGAGCCGAGTAGTAAGTAGGAAAGTCGATAATGAAGTAGCTCATTAAAGAACACAGCAGTATCCTACTGAGGTAAGTATGTCTGAGGATAAAAATAGTGTATTCACATTTAGATCCCACCCCTCTTGACTCGTATGTTCTTTTAAAGCATGGAATACGATAGTTTGAAATTTCTAACAATTTTCATTTCTCAGAATCTGTATGTTCTTTTAAAGCATGGAATACGATAGTTTGAAATTTCTAACAATTTTCATTTCTCAGAATCTGTCAAGCGCTTAGGGGGCTTTCAAAGTGCGAAATCAAGGTTCTAAGCGATGTAAGTGCATAACTAGCTTATAACGTTGTTGATTTTAACGCAGTTATACATTAAGGTTCTAAGCGATGTAAGTGCATAACTAGCTTATAACGTTGTTGATTTTAACGCAGTTATACATTATCATCCTCGTTCTTGAAGCTTATGTTAGCGAGTTTGTACTTTTCTGTAGGATTTTTTTTCCTTCGTAGGAACCACCACTTTAAGGAAGATCATTGGATAGGTCTGACTATAATCTACTTTTTTTTTCCTTCGTAGGAACCACCACTTTAAGGAAGATCATTGGATAGGTCTGACTATAATCTACTGTAAGTTGATAGCTTCCTACTGGAATGTATAGTGAGAAGAGATGATGAATCCATAAGCTCCTAGTTTGATTAAAGATGAGCTTGTTAATTATCACCGTTCTGCTGTGCATGCAAGTGTTGTTAGGGTTATTATCAATTAAAGATGAGCTTGTTAATTATCACCGTTCTGCTGTGCATGCAAGTGTTGTTAGGGTTATTATCAGGATAGATGTTAGAAATAGTAGGTTAAATTATACCCTTAAATTTGGGTTAGGTTTAAATTATGCACCTGGAATTTGAAAAGATTCATTTTTTACCCCTAAACTTGATTTTATTTTCGTTAAAATAGGACTGAAATTGATACGGAGCATAATTGGAAGTTATCTCAAGAGATTAGGAACATTTTATATAATTAACCAAAACATTATTGGGATGTATTAGTTGGTAGCTAGTAAAGGGGTTTTCAATGGGGAAGTAGTGGAAGGGTTGTAGGAGGCATTTCTTTATACGTTAGGACTTGGGTTTGGTTTTCAATGGGGAAGTAGTGGAAGGGTTGTAGGAGGCATTTCTTTATACGTTAGGACTTGGGTTTGTTGGAGAGGAGATGTGTCCAAGTACCTCGAATCACTTAAAATGAAGTATTTGCTTCGTGTCACAATCACATTTTTTAACACTCACTCCTACCAACAAGTCAGCCTACTTAAATTTGTGTCGTCGTTGGCACGAGTGGTGTATACTTAGGTCTCTAGCCCCGTTTTACGGGAAAAAAAATTAAACAAGGTAAAGAGATTTTAGAAAGTGTTTTGAAAGCAATTTTAGAAGGTAAGATTATAGGCTATCAAGCAAGGTAAAGAGATTTTAGAAAGTGTTTTGAAAGCAATTTTAGAAGGTAAGATTATAGGCTATCAAGCAAGGACAACAATGACTTTGATAACATAGAACTTTGAGTATGAAGAATTGATAACTTGTTACATCTCCTATTATACATCTTGAGGCATTTTAGTTTGCGCAGAAATAGACTTGAATTTTGTGACGAGTAGTATCAGGGGTTGGAGTCAACACGCTTTGGACTAGCATGATCGTGACACTTCGCATCCCTTAGGGAGAATTGGTTTATTTAGCTTTGGACCAGCATGACACTTCACACTTCACACCCCTTAGGGAGAATTGGTTTATTTAGAGTCAGATGAAAGTATAGTTTTTTAGCGTAAATTTACTTTGATTTTCCTTTTGTCGAACCCAAATTCCTAATAATCTCTTATGTTCTTGATAGGTCTTCTCATCGGTAATGAAACCTTTGTGTTCTCATCAACAAAGGATTAGCCAAAAGGAAGAGTAGATAGATGCCTCTCGTTTACCAAAAAGAGTAATCTTTTAATGAAAAAGTAAAAAGAGAAAATAAAAGAAAGCATTTGTGCCCCAAAATTGGCCATGTTTTTCAGGGTTTGGATTGAGTAAGTCCACACGCAATGAATTACTATACTAATTTATGAGATGCTTTAAATGTCTCTGTCCTTCATTATTCAAACCATTTTCTTAGCCCACATTTTATTTATTTATTTATTTATTTATTTATTTATTTGGAGTTTAGGCCACATTTTTTCAATGCAAATATAAACAAATGGGAGACTTTTGAGATGCTTTGGGACAAAGAGGTGGTGGGTGATTGTCAATTTCAAGTTTTAAAGCATCAAGGATTTGAAATCACTTGAAAAAATTATATAACTAAATTAAATTAATTTTTATTAGTTTATTAAAGATTTAGTTTTCTTTTTAAAAGCACATCCAATGAAAACTTGACACAATTATTTGTGTTTAGTTTAGCTTAGAATAATTATAGGTTTAGCATATTTCAAAGATATTTTAGATTAAAGTTGTTGGGTTTCACCAAAAAAACAAAACAAAACAAAAACAGAAAATTAGGAAAATTATTCTTAATTTGTTGAATTAGAATTTTAAAGCTTTTTTTCCTCATAAAGTTAAAAAGTAATTTTTAGTGGAGAAGAAAATATAGTGAATGATGCAAAAGAAGGCCACTTTAATCACTTTCTTCAATACAATGTGCATTATTAGATTTTTTTTTAATTAAAAAAAATGAATTAAGAATAAGGGTGGTTAACATTAGTAATGTATAAAACTTACCCTATAAACCATTTATTTTTCACCATAACATAGAGAGGTCCCTTTGTCAATTGAACCGTCGTAATAACAAAAGGGTTAGGTTTATTACAACTTGCAAGATTACGAGAGAAGAAGATTAATTGGAGAACTAGACCATTGTTAAAGAGTTGTCCACAAAAAAATAAGAGCGTGTTGACGTAAAAGATGATAGGCAAATGACATCATTAGTGTCAGTTCCATTTGTAAAATTCAAGTTTAACTAAATAAAAATAAAAATTCATCAAACTTAAAAAATAAATAAATAAATAACACCAAACAAAATATCCTTTTTCAAAATATTACTAAAGTGAGCCAATATTTTAAATTTAAAAAAAAAATTAATGAATAAGTTGGGTAAGTTGAGAAGGAGAAAAAGTTTGGTTTTTTATTAATGAAAAAAAAAAATTAATGAATAAGTTGGGTAAGTTGAGAAGGAGAAAAAGTTTGGTTTTTTATTAATGAAAATATAATAATATACCAATAAATGAGTAATAAAAATAGTTTAAAACGTTTTAAATGGTTAATAAAAGTACAATTATTTATACCAATAAATGAGTAATAAAAATAGTTTAAAACGTTTTAAATGGTTAATAAAAGTACAATTATTGGTATTGGGACACTTGGACGTGGCACAACAAAAACATTTGACTTTATCTTCTTTTTTCTTAATTCATAAAAAGCATTTTAAAAAACACAAAATAAAATAAAATAAAGAAAAAGCATTTCACATGCATCATTCATAAAAAGCATTTTAAAAAACACAAAATAAAATAAAATAAAGAAAAAGCATTTCACATGCATCACATGGTTTGTGTGATTGTCATGCATCACATACACCCATTCAAAATCCTCACACTTTTCATCCTCATCCTTTTACTTTCTTTTCTTCCACTCCCTCCCTGCTTTTCTTTGCCATCCTCATTTTCAGTCCCTCTACTTTCATTTATTTTCAATTCGGTCCTTCTAAAACTTTCAAAACTAAAAGGGCTTTTCAGTCCCTCTACTTTCATTTATTTTCAATTCGGTCCTTCTAAAACTTTCAAAACTAAAAGGGCTTCCCTCTTGATCGAGCTCGGTTTCGGTTTAAGATAACGAAAGGGCAAACACAATCCTCCAACTTTTCATATTTTTGGAGAACTTCCTGCTATCAAGGAAGGAGACGAACAACTCTGTGAAGAAAGTCGCGAACTGATACTAAGAACCTTACATTAGTTTTCAAAATGTGCAGCTTCAAATAGATATCAAAAGTCGCGAACTGATACTAAGAACCTTACATTAGTTTTCAAAATGTGCAGCTTCAAATAGATATCAGATTAGATTAAACCAAAGCTCGATTTCTAGCCTAGGGAATAGATGCCATCTTCGACATAGGTGACGACCATAGTCCATAATCTCAAACGATTTCTAGCCTAGGGAATAGATGCCATCTTCGACATAGGTGACGACCATAGTCCATAATCTCAAAAAACTTGATATGCAGAAGAAAATGAAACATATCTATGAACAAGAGCATGAAAAAGAACACGGCACAAACTGGTCTGAGCAAAGAACCCCATCATGATCAGATAGAAAGTGTATCCATTTTCATCAAAATAATGAACGCTGATACAGATACATGCATTGTTTGATGGTGAATCTAAAGAGTAATAAAGAACAAAAGAATTTGAGGGGCTAACATTAAAAAGAACATCAACAGTTTGGGAGATTCTTGATGAACAATAAGAACAGTGGACCATCTTGATTATGCAGAATAGTAACAACAGTTTGGGAGATTCTTGATGAACAATAAGAACAGTGGACCATCTTGATTATGCAGAATAGTAACAATAATAACAATGTGTACTATAAACAACATAAATTCTCTTCTCCTACTTTGTTAATTCATACTAGATACTTATTTCCCTAACAATAATACCTGCTCTCTCTAAATCAAAACTTCTGCATGCACTACGTTACTGTAGTTCTTGTGCTACCCAACATACCTGCTCTCTCTAAATCAAAACTTCTGCATGCACTACGTTACTGTAGTTCTTGTGCTACCCAACTGTTGATAGAGGATGTAATGGAGTCGAATCCCGCGAAATTGTGGCTATCAACTCTTCCTTTGTCAACTGCTCCGATCCGGGGGATTTGATCGTAAACGTGTGCAAAACTGTATCGTTTACTTCAACAGGTCAACTGCTCCGATCCGGGGGATTTGATCGTAAACGTGTGCAAAACTGTATCGTTTACTTCAACAGAGAGTTTTGAATCAACAACACTGATCTGTGCATTTTTCATTGCCTTGATAACTCTTGATGCAGGGTGTGACTCTAATGGGCAGCTAACCTTAACAATGACTTCGTCATTACCTGCTTCGACGTCGATGTCAACATCGAGGAATTGATCTTTGTTTTCAATTTCTGGGTTCGTCTCCGAAGGGGTTGCTTCACTTGAGGTGATGCCGGATTGCTCCCTTTCATATTCCATGGCTTTCACTTTAGATTGAAGCTCATTAATGTAAGCAATGGCATCTCCTAGCAGTGAAGCTTTGTCCATCTTCGAGATATTGGGTACAACAGCTCGTATAAGCAATGGCATCTCCTAGCAGTGAAGCTTTGTCCATCTTCGAGATATTGGGTACAACAGCTCGTAAAGCATAGAACCGCTGGTTCAACTTTTCACGACGTTGCCTCTCCGCCTCCACGTGATTTAGTGGTTCCTCCCTGCCATTTGCAGGTTTTCTGCCTCGTTTGCGTGGTCGTCTTTCGTCAGTGCCAGGTCCCTCTTCTTTGCATTGAGGCTCTACATCTAATTGTTCCGAATCTGCAACTACACGGTTCATCACAGGAGTCGGCCTTGATGTTGCTACAGAGAAATCAATTTGCATTTGGGCTATCTACACGGTTCATCACAGGAGTCGGCCTTGATGTTGCTACAGAGAAATCAATTTGCATTTGGGCTATCTTCTGTGATTGATAGGGATTGAGACAAAATTCATCTCTAACTCCATTGACAAGCTGCTCGTGATTATTATTTACCGGTGGAGTTGGAGAGCCTAAAGTTTCGGTAGGATTCCCCTGTTTGAGAAGATGAACATGCCCCAAACTCGGACTTCGAACGCCCTTTCGAGGGCTTTGAAACTGAATTCTACCTCCATTGGGACATACTTCCCATGCCCTTTCGTCCATCTTCCTAACCGCCAGTTTCTCTCTGAAATGAGATCGACCCACGTTCCCCGAGTTCAAACTCTGCCCAAAAACCTTAGGAACCCCTCCTCCTCTTTCTGCAATCCCCAAACTTGGAAACAGGGCGTTTTCATCCTTCCTTTCAGCCATCCTCGACATCACAGCCAATGTCCTCACTCCATCAAGCGAACGTTGAGATGAAAACAACGATCGAATCAAATGAACCAACTCTAAGCTCTCACTCTCCATCAAGCGAACGTTGAGATGAAAACAACGATCGAATCAAATGAACCAACTCTAAGCTCTCACTCACAGATCTCACAGAACCCAATTCAACTACTCCAACATCAGTTGGCACCAAGACGATGGTCCGAATACCAGCAGACTTAGCCAGATAGGACCTCACACAATACTCAGCAGGCGAATTGAGCACATCCACGAATACCAGCAGACTTAGCCAGATAGGACCTCACACAATACTCAGCAGGCGAATTGAGCACATCCAAGTGCCAGACATGTTTCCCAGAAGCGAAACACTTCCCAGGACCCCCCTCTCCACCAGGAAAGGAGAAATACATGGAAGCAAGAAAAAACATCTCAGTATCAGTAACTCTATCCAATCCAAGAGCATAATTATCCTCATCAGACCCACCAAACAGTGTATGAAGCTTCTGCAATGCCCTTTTCTTCATCCTTTGTTGGCTCTCATCTTCAAGCTCAAGGCTAAGAATCTGCGTAGCTTCTGTTCCCTCACCGTCCCTAGGATCCCTAAACGATCCATCTCCCCATCCCAAAACCCATTGACCAGATTTTGAATGGGAAAGTTGCCAGAAAATTGCATAATTCCAACAAAAATTAGAAGCGTTGGGTGTCTCTACCAGATCCGCAAGCTTGTTCTGCAAATTATCATCATTCCTCACAGCCATAAACAGATTCTCATTCGAAACAGAGCAAGACATCATGTAATTAAAAGCACGAGTACCCAAAACAGCAGCAACCACAGTCTTATCCTCATCCTTCCCACCCACACCCCGCAACCCATCTTCAATCTTCATCTTTAAAACCCAATGATAACAATAATCACACACACGCTTCAAAATTAGAAAACCCCAGATCAAATCTCTGTCCAAAAACCTAAACCCTCTACCAAGAACACCATCGCTAAAACATTGTCTAGATCT